TGAAAAGTTTCCCCAAACAGCTAACAAGAGTAATACCTCTGTAATTATTTACATCGTTGACATTTCCCTTCTTAAAGACAGGCACACTATTACCCTTTGACCATACTTCCGGGAAATAACTAGCTTTAAGTATAATTGTTAGATAAAGTTACAAAACGAGGCATCAACACCGGCTTACAATTCATTATAATAAAATATTCATTTAAAATATTGTCAGGACAGCATGCCTTATTTGCATTTAATTTCTTAATTGCACCAAATATTTCGGCTTCTGATATATAAACGTCTAATTCGTCAAATGTTACATTCGAAGAGTTAGAATCATGTTCTTGCAGAAAATAATTAACATTAGCCTAAATTAGTTGGTTTGGTTGAAGCTAATTTATGAAAATGGTCGAAAAAATCAGCATCATTCAAATAACTTTTAACCTTTTGCTTCCTTTTCTTGAAATGTTTTTAAAAACTCTTAGGATTATGTTTTCTCATGTTATTGAGCATGTTGCCTTGTTGACACCTATATTCTTTTTTAAGTTTGTATTACAATATTTTGTACATGCTTTTCTTGTTAATAAGATAGACACGGTGTTCTTCGTGTTTACATCTGTTGAATATAAAAACAGTGTTTAATTGGTTGACAGTCTTGTCCATACTTTTACGTTTATTCATACTGTTTTCTGACAAATAGTTAACAATGTTAGATCAGGGACAGTATACATGTATATTTATACGTCCCTGGTTAGATAAAATATTACTTGATGCATCGCCCAGTAGGTCAGCGTCAATGAAATTATCAACTTCACCAGTTCGACTGTTAAAATCACCTAGGCCTATAGCCAATATCATGCCACAAGGGGATTTTTTCTTAAATACAGCAGAGACGTTTATATGTATACTGTATATTTATACTGTATACAGAAATACTTTCTTCTAGTTTTACAAAAAGATCCACATCATGCGTATCATAATGAGTACTATTAGCTGCGGGAAATAATTAACAAATATGTAAATATCTTTACCATCACGTGATAAATCAGGTGCTATCATTTACATTTTCGACAACTGTACAATACGTACAGTACGGGGTCACCTGCATGCTCGATCACATGGGTTTACTCGAGTACTCTGGTTTCCTGCAACAAGAAGACTCTAGAGCGCTAACATCGGGGCAAAACAAGAGAGATTAATATAAGCGGAAATAACTTATTTAATAATTGTTGTAAAAAACATAAAGTTTATATTTATGTAACAGGAGCTGGACGAGCCCAGTTCCTCTACATTATATATTTATATATATATGAAATCAGCGAATCCGGACTTTTCCAACAGTCCTTTTTATTTTTATTTTATTAGCGCAACAAATAGAAAGAGAAAGTAGGATTTACCAGAAAGGCCTGCAAATCATGATTTCACCACATTCCAGAAACTACCCACTGACCTGTCACCAAATATGATGGACATAAATAACTTAAAGTAACATTTTCAGACAAGACCTCACGTTCAGATGTCAGTAGGAACTGGGCCACGATAATTGAGGTAAATGGCGGTGTCAGGTCGTTTCGGTAACAGGACGAAAGTCGTTTCGGGACTTTATTCGGGTCGTTTCGGGACATGTTAAAAGTCGTTTCGGGATTTTCTTTTTTTTCTTTTTTCTTCTGTAGATATCATTGTCTTTATTCTTTAATCATATCTTATTGACAAACATAAAATCGAATGAACTCCAGGAACTGGCAACAGAAATCTCCCCCATTCTCTAGCTGTCTCATCTTACAAAGCTCGTTAGGAACCGGTCATGTTCAATCTGACTGGTGAACAGCTAACATTGCCCTAGTTTACAAAAAAGGCCAAAGATTTAACCCTGAAAACTACCGTCCCATATGTCTCACTTGTAGTATTTTTGTTGTAAGTTGTTGGAACATATATTATAGTAAGTAACATCATGAATCATGTTGATAACTATGACATTCTTTACCCCTTACAACATGGTTTCAGACAATCCAGGTCATGTGAGAGTCAACTATTAGAATTCATTGATGACATCTCAACTAATTTAAAAAATGGTAAATAGACAGATATATTGATTATGGATTTAAGTAAGGCCTTTGATAAGGTGAGCCATTCTCTCCTTATCCACAAACTAAATTAGGGGGTATGGAATTACTGGACCAGTCAACACCTGGATTGAAAGCTTCCAAAGTGACAGAACCCAGACCGTTGTAGTAGAGGGGGAAATGTCCGATTCTGCCCCAGTAAGATCAGGGATCCCCCAAGGCTCGGTCCTCGGGCTGAGTCTTTTCTTATACTACATCAATGATATCACTGAGGGTATAACATCTTCTATCAGACTCTTTGCAGATAATATACCATCATGTATCTGACAGTAATATCTCAGAGAGATGCTCACACCCTACAAAAAGATCTTGATAAACTGGCGCTTTGGGAGACTTAAAATGGAGGATGGCTTTCCATCCTGAGAAATGCCAGGTCATCTCTGGTCACAAGGAATAGACATCCCATCTGTCGCCCCTACATACTACATGGTCACGAGTTGGAGCATGTGACAGAGGCTAAATATCTTGGGGTCTGATCTAAAGTGGAATACTCATATCAATAACATCACAAAAAAGGCCAATTCCACTCTGATTTTATACTCGTCTGCTGAAAGGCCGTCGTGGGTTTGGTTTGGTTTAGTATTGTTTAACGTCCTATCAACAGCTATGGCCATTTAAGGACGACCTCCCATGTGTGCAAAATGCATGCGTGTAGTGTATACGTGTGTGTTTTGGGAGGGTGCGATATGTTCGTGTTTGTCTCCATGTGATAGCGCGGAACTGATGCCGACTTTATAGTGCTACCTCACTGAAACATACTGCCGAAGGCACCCAGCAGGACACCCCAGGCTGACAGTACACTGACAACGAGCGAACCAGTCGTCCCACTCCTTAATTGCTGAGCGGTAAGCGGGAGTAGAAAGTACCATTTTTACAGACTCTGATATGTCTCGGCCAGGGGACAGAACCCAAAGCCTTCCTCACAGGGGCGAACGCTCAACTAATGGCTAAATGCGAGGTATTGTCAGGGGAGACATTCAGAAGAAAACTGTTTAGAAAGAAGAAAAAAGATAACATCCCGAATTTAGTCGCCTCTTACGATCATGCAATAGGGGCAGCAGGTACAATTCTTACGCCCTACCTGCAGGGACGGCCGTCATAGCGGGCATAATCAATGTTTCTGATTATGAAGTGGTGTCCCTGTTAGATCACATCATATCATCGTGATATAAAAACAATGCTGAATTATTTTGAAAAAATAAATCACTAAAAATATCAAAATATTTTCTCACTTGGAGATTGACAAAAGTTCATACAATACTTAAAATCAAATCATAGAATTTGAGAATTTAAGGCATTTAAAATGTTAACGTCAATATCGTAGTTTTTAAACAAATACCGAATTCATGACCCAATCAAATATATAATATTCCATCTACCTGAAAGTTCTAGTTCTAAAGGTTTATGACCACTTTCGACAAGTTGAAGATACACCGAGGATAAGAATAGAGAGAAGAGATACTTAAGTCAGAGGTAGGGGGAGACAGAGAAACAGTTGTACTGGCACACCGTCCGACAGCACTAAACATAGACGCAGGGAGGAGTTAGAAAAGGAAAAAGAATAGGCACTGGGAGAAACATACCAAGCGAGTAAGTGATTAGACAACACCTACCTACGAAATTTACCTGGTCATATACCAGCAGAGAAAACGGAAGAAAGGGGAGTTACCGGAATGTTAATGAATTATAAGCTTTTCTGTTAGATTTTTTAAGGCAGATGGCAAGTATGTAATCGTCCGATAAAGCAAAGATGTTGCTGGGAGGGTGGCGCAGTAGATATCGCACCCGACTTTCCCTAATGTGTCCTGGGTTCGATTCCCCGATCAGACGTGAAAAGGTACATAATGTATGGTTCAAGTTCTTTATTACCTTAAATCATTTGACCCATCGATTTCAAAAGTGAGATATATTTACAATATTTACAGACAATACAATACAATACAGCACAATACAATACAATACAATACATTACAATACAATACAATACATACAATACAATACAATACAATACATACAATACAAACAATAAAAATAAATACAATACAATACCAGCAATGTACAAACAGTATGGAGAGTGTAACCAGTTAAATTAATTGGTTTCTTCTTACAATTGCCGCTTTTATATATTTGGCCAAAAAGTTCTTTTGTCTTATTTACATTAAATAATTTTATCCTTTTAAACATACTTGTTTTTGACATAGTAATTTTTCAAAATTTAACACGCAAATCCTAATAACATGGACATTTCAACATAAAATGAAACTCGTTTTCAACATTATTTAAATTACATACAGTACACACTCTAAGACTACGTTCAATATGTATAGATATATCCCTTTGAAGACGTTCTTACTTTTTCTTTGCATTCTTGTCTTTCTCTAATAACATTATAACACATATCATCGTTTATTTCTGTTTCCCATATGTAATTCTATATAAATCATTTGTATGTTCAAAACCCATTTACCTTATTCTCTAACATATCTTTATAACATGCTTGCAAAATACGATTCGTCCTCTTTAACTTAATCCATTATTTAATCATTCTTATCTTTCTTACCAATGACAATGGATACCTCCCACGTTCTAAATAAACCATAATATTACAAGTATTTTTTCTTACGCCCAGCAGTCGTTTACAAAACAAAGAATGATTTTTTATAATATTTCAGAACCGAGCTTAGAATGCTGTTTACATACGTATCAAAAACTGATAATTGAGTTTCAATATTGAAATAATGTTTCCGACATACATTCATAACTGGGAACAAAGCTTTTCTACCCTGATCTGCAATTTTTTGTTGTATTAGGTAGTTAAATTCATTTACAATTTCTAGTTGACAACCATTGTATTTCCAACATTCATTATTTCTCAACCCCCCCCC